CTTGGTTATGCTATGCACAGCGTGGGTTATAGATTTTTAATTATAAACTCTAGTGTTCATGAGATGGTTGTTGATACAATCATAGAATCTAGAGACGCTATATTTTTTGAGAATGAGTTTTCCATAAAAAATACACCTAGCACAACTGGTCATGAATTTATAATTCTCCATGAGCATGAAAACTTTATTCCGATAGAACAAATTAAAGAACCCTATGTGCAAAGTCCTGAGGAGGATGACACTATAGTCACTAAGAAAAGCAAGAGACAGAGGACTACAAAGTCTTTTGGTGATGACTATATTGTGTACCTTGTGGATGACACACCAACGACCATTGAAGAGGCATATTCCTCTCCTGATGCTGACTTATGGAAGAAAGCAGTACGGAGTGAGATAGATTCTGTTATGTCTAATGGAACTTGGGAAATAGTTGATCGTCCCTATGGGTGCAAGCCTATAGGTTGCAAATGGGTGTTCAAGAAAAAGCTTAGGCCTGATGGTACTATTGAGAGGTACAAGGCAAGGCTTGTGGCCAAGGGTTATATTCAAAAGGAAGGTGAGGATTTCTTTGATACTTATTCACCGGTTGCCCGATTGACCACAATTCGAGTTTTGCTTTCCTTGGCAACCTCTTATGGTCTTATCGTTCATCAAATGGACGTTAAGACAGCTTTCCTAAACGGAGAGTTACAGGAGATCTATATGGATCAGCCTGATGGGTTTGTAGCAAATGGTCAAGAAGGCAAGGTGTGTAAATTATTAAAGTCATTATACGACCTAAAACAAGCTCCTAAACAATGGCATGAGAAGTTTGACAGAACTTTAACATCTGTTGGCTTTGTTGTGAACAAAGCTGACAAATGTGTGTACTATCGGTATGGTGGGGGTAAAGGAGTCATTTTGTGCTTATATATTGATGACATACTGATCTTTGTATCCAACCTCAAAGTGATCGAGGAGGTGAAGGAATTTCTATCTAAAAATTTTGATATAAAAGATTTGGGAGAGGCTAATGTTATTCTCAATATCAAGCTTCAAAGAGAAGGTGATGGTGGGGTAACTTTGTTACAAACCCACTATGTGGAAAAGGTGCTGAGTCGCTTTGGGTTTAGTAACTGTACACCTGCTCCTACACCTTATGACCCTAGTGTGCTATTGAGGAAAAATCGGAGAATAGCAAGGGATCAGTTGAGATATTCCTAGATCATTGGTTCGCTCATGTATTTTGCTAGTGCAACAAGGCCTGACATCTCATTTGTTGTGTGCAAGCTGAGCCAGTTTGTGTCAAACCCGGAAGATGATCACTGGCGTGCTCTTGAGAGAGTACGCTACCTGAAAGGGACCATGAGCTATGGTACAGACATCTAAAAGTGCTGGAAGGCTACTGTGATGCCAACTGGATTTCTGATGCTGATGAGCTTTATGCCACAAGTGGATATGTGTTTTCACTTGGAGGTGGCGCTATTTCCTGGAAGTCTTGCGAGCAGACTATCTTAACGAAGTCTACAATGGAAGCAGAACTTACAGCGTTAGACACTGCTGGATCTGAGGTTGAGTGGCTTCGTGATCTCCTTATAGATTTACCGGTTGTTGAAAAACCTATATCGGCTATTTCTATGAACTACGATAAACAGACTGTGATTACAAAGGTTAACAGTTCTAAGGATAACATGAAGTCCACAAGGCATGTTAAGAGACGACTAAAATCTGTCAGAAAATTGAGAAACTCCGGAGTAATACGTTGGACTATGTTCGCACGTCTAATAATCTGGCAGATCAGTTCACTAAGGGCCTATCACGTAACGTGATAGAAAGTGCATCGAGAGAGATGGGTTTGAGATCCACTTGAAATTTACTATAGTGGTAACCTGTTCTATGTGATCGGAGATCCTGTGAAGTAGGACGGTGAAACAAGCTAGTAGTAAATTGTGAGGAAAGATCCTTAATAAGACTTATTTCTGATGCACATCTTTCCTATCTATAAGGCAGGTTGGTTTTTACCTTAATGTGCTCCAAGTGGCTTGTTAAAGCAAAGATATTGTCCTACAGAACATCTTTTGAGGAACACACCTATATAAGTTAGACTGCTGGTCACAGTCTATGAGATTTGGGTGATCTTTAAATACTCATAAAAGGCACTGAGGTATGACTTATATGCTTCAAATAGAGGGGATGTCTTTTGCTGCCCAGTATCAGCTAAGGACTTTAGTGACATTCACCTCACACAAAACTGTCAATTCAAGGCTTAGTCCATTGTTCAGTTGTGACTGAGTGAAACTATTGTTCTAGATATATGTTCAACTTAACAATCTTCATCAAAACACTGGTATATAAAAGAAATATGGTTCTAAAACTACTTTGTTACAAACTTTTAAGTTTGGTGGGGATTGTTGGATATAATATGGGCCTGGTCCATATAATATTTAATAAATCAAATAAAACTCTATAGTACGTAACATTAAGTGTTGTATGGCTTAATAACATACGGGATTTTGACTGGACGCTGACTCAGCTTATATGGTTAGAATTTATTCATCTAAATTGAGAAGCTGAGAAAAGAATAAAGACGTGCCACACATGCGCTCGCGCCGCCGCCGCCGGCCGGGCCGAGCCGTGGCCGTGGGAGCGAGCGCGGGCGCGGGCGCGGGCCGGGCCGTGGCGTGGCGTGGCGAGGCGAGGCGGGCGGGCGGGTGGCGAGCGGGCGGGCATGGCCAGTCTTTTGCTACTTAATCCATATAATCACGGGAGTTACTCCCTTTGATTGTGGAGGAAAACTGACTGCGTCAGTTACCATCCCTTTCGCTTCCGCTTCTCGTCTCCTGCGATTATCTGCTTCCTTCGTCTCCTTCCCCTATCGCAGCTATATATCTCGTCTTCCGTCAGTCCAGATCCTGTCTTTAGTAACCACTCCTGAGAGACAGATCAGCAGCCTTCTGACTTCCTTTTGCCACTTAAATCCACATTATCATGGGAGTATCACGGGAGTTTCACTTCTTGATTGTGGAGGCGTACTGACTGCGTCAGTTACCGTCCCTTCCGCTTCCGCTTCCCACCTCCTGAGATTCTTCGCTGCCTTCGTCTCCTTCCCCTGTCGCAGCCATATATCCCGTCTTCCGTCAGTCCAGATCTAGTTCATCCTGCAACCGTTCCGAGAGAACCCACATCTCCACAGCCTTCTGTCTTCCCCATCCCGTACCTCTGCGCGCACGGAGGAGTGGGAGAGTAGGTGCCTCCGGAACCCTCAGCCGCCTGAGAATCCTGCACGGGGTGAACGTCGATTAGGTTTTTGAGGAGCGATCCGCCACTGCTCGTCCATCTTTTTTCTTGAGATCGCTCTTGGATCTGTCTTCTCCCTGGAACGTCAAGGCGTCTTCTTCCTGATGATCCGTTCGTGGGACTGTACTGCGAACATCTTCCTGCATCAACTGTGGTCCGTGACTTCGAGCAACGCACTATGTCGACTAATGCGAATGGAGCCTCCGATGCCCTCTGCATGGGACCCTCCGCTGGGTACAGTGTAATCTCTTTGATTACTGTATTTTGTATTTTTACTGTATCGATATGTATGTCATCTATGCATGTTGTAGCGTTCATAAGAAATATACACATGCATATATATATACCGTCACAAACCTGCTGATGTTATATTTCTGGATTAAACTAATAATGAAAATGCCTAAATGAAGGAAGTCCACGCCTACGCCGTGGTGACCGGCGTCGAACAGGAGCTCACTGTGGGTAGTGCTCTACAGCCTGTTCGCTTGCTCGTAAACGATCGTAAATTTTCAGCGGGGAACAGTGTTTTTCTCTCACACCAAACCAGCCAGCAGTAAATAATCCACGATACGATACGGCCTCCCGAACATGCTGCTAGTAGATATGTACACGAAGAGTGGGTTCGTGCTGGAAGCACGCCGGCTGTTTGACAGGATGGCAGAAAGAAGCACGGTGACTTGGAATTCCATGATCTTCGGGCTGGCGAATTCCGGCCACTGCCAAGAAGCCATCGGTCTCTTCAACCGGATGCTGTGCGACGGAGCGAGGCCAGATCACCTGACGTTCACAGCCGTTCTGACGGCTTGCAGCTACGCGGGCATGGTGGAGCTCGGGAAGGGCCTGCACCGCGCCATGCAGGAAGAGCACGGCATCGCGCCGAGGCTGGAACACTGCGCATGCATGGTGCATTTGCTTGGCCGAGACGGCTGGCTCGCCGAGGCTTATGATTTCATCAAAGCCATGCCCCTGGAGCCTGACTCCTTCGTCTGGGGGGCGTTGCTGGGGGCATGCCGGAGCCATGGCGATGTCAAGCTTGCCGAGCTGGCTGCGTCCCACCTGCTAACCGTCGAGCCGGCCAATGCAGCTAGTTGCCTGCTACTCTCGGACTCGCTGGCAGACAAGATGATGTTATGAAGATGAAGAGGCTGGCAAAGAGACGGCGCATGAAGAAGCTGGATGGCTGAAGCTGGTTGGAGTTAGTCTGCATAATCGAAAGCGATATATCGTCTGAGATCATCAGAAGAACAGGATTGATTGATCACAGATTCATGGTTGCCCAGATATGCAGAAGCAAACATCCCAGAGTTCAGGTTACCTCGTCTAATTAGCCGCTTTCCTACAAATGCATGTATTGGTCTATTAGATGCTACCATGAACATGTATTGGTCTATTTGATGCTACCATGAAAATAGAAATGCTGCGATACTGAGATTTAGTAGATGAAATGTTTAGCATTCACACTGTTTACTCACGTTGACACAACACATTTGTAACTACTAAAGCATGACATAAGTGGGAGTCACTAGTACTATACAAGCATAAACAGCAACATAGTATTTACTTATTTGAGGCTGGATACTAGGTCCCTAAATCCTAATTACATTACGTAATACTCGATTACATTACGTAATACTGGAAGCAACTTATTATATAATTACAAGGCAGCAGCACGGTTCGGCTTCATTTCTCCATTCCTCACGCACGGTTCTCACCGCCCAGAAACATCAGTGACTGGGGGAGTTTGATCTACCATCTGGTGCTAGACCTAAAAGCAAAACTATTCCTCCCCCAGTTCCATCCCCCGGGTCTGATCCCTCAACAGGGGGTGCCCTCCTAGCAGCAGCTCGGCGCATTGGCTCGAAGAATCTACCAGCCACATCAGGAGGTTGCTCGAAAGATTCCTCCCCAGGCAGAACAAGGAGCCCTTCATTGCGGAGCATGGAGGGTTCATGGTAGCATGTGATCCACAGTGAGTCAACAAGCTGCCTCTCTTCTCGTGCAGCATCCAAATCTTCAGGAGTCATCGTCCTTATGCTTTCCATACGTCCACGGAGAAGCCGTCGTAGCCTGTCATGTTCTGCTAGTAGACTCCTATTTCCAAGTGTTGTGTCCCTTGCAAGCTCAAGCAAGCCCCCTAATGCTGCCTCTCGAACACCAGAGTCATCGCTGGAAGCTAAACGCATCATAAGGTGGGGGAAACCTAACTGCGCAAATACTGAACAATCTGAATGGCTTTCGCTGAGCAGATAGTGAGTCAGACTCAATGCTTTCCTGACACACACACAAAAAAAAAAGACCAAAAACATCTCAGTCAAATAACATGTTGGCAAGGCATTTGCCAAAAAACATCACCTCAGAATTTCGAATCAATTGTGTTACCTCTGAAACCTTGCACTTTCTGAATTCAATGCATCTCTTAGTCCTGTATATCCGTTGGCTAAACGAAATGCAGAAACTCCTGGTTTGTTGTTCCGTATCAGAGCTGAATATTTAATGAGGACATCATTAGACATGTCAATTTATAGGATATAATATATACTGTGTCCATTTAAAATGTGGATAAAATACTTACAAGATAGTGCACCAAGAGCTTTTATCCGAGCAGTAAGGTCAGGATCTGATCTGAAATTGGATAAGAGAGGTTCAAAACCACTAGCTTCCATGACCAACTGCTGGCTGGTCGGATTGTTCTGAACCACTGTTGTTACAACGTCAGCTGCTTTCGCTCGGATACGAGCATTAGAATTTCTGAGGTACTTGATAACTGGAACCAACCCACCAACAGAATGCAAATCTAGAGCACGACATAGAAATAGCAAAATAAGTCATCCAAATAACAAATTGTGAGTATAAAAACATGATAGTTTCACATAAAGAACATTTTAAATTAGACTTATGGCTATCATTGCTTCATTGTAAACAATTAGTTCATCATTCAGTCAACTATTTTTATTCTAATGGATCAGCTCCCCTTGAAAAGTTGCACGGTAGCATATTGAAAGGGGAAGCTGAGAATTCACCTGAATAGCAATGTTCTATTGCCAAAAACCACTATAGTTGCCTCCATCCATTTGTTTAGCCACCTCAACAGAAACTACGAATGCCATTTTCAATCATCCAATGATGTGAATGTATTCAGTTTGACACCAAGAATGCATGTCTCCAAGTGCTACCATTGTCTCCTACATATGGGATTGTAGATTTCACTTAAAAGTAAATAATTTGAGTTCATGTATGTATGAATGAAATATGCTCATAAACCTTAATGCAAGCAGCAATTACGAACTGACACTAGGAGAATTCTAATGGACACACACACATTACACATATCAGATAGCTCTGAGGACTTTTGTCATACGATTTGTAATTGTGCAAAAGTCTGGCTCCAATGAGCCATCCACATCAAGGACCCTCACGAATCCCACAAAGGAGGTACCATTTTGTATTATATACCACAAATGGAGCCATATTGAGGTATATGAAACATGAGATTTTGTGAAATGATAACAAGACATGGGAAAAATTAAACATGAATCTGGGACATACCATTTGCCATGTCGATAGACTCAACATGCACCTGCAGCTCACTCAGCAAATCTGTAATTTTCAGAAGCATGCAGATTAGCATTGACCAGGTATGAGAAATGGCATTTGAAACTAAATAAATGCAATTAAGGCCCAGATTGTCAGCTTGAAGGCTGTTACAATCTGCAAGTTGAAACAAATACATTCTAGATTATAGCCAGACTGTAACAATTAACAATCTGCTTCCCCTTAACTTGCAGATTGTTACACTCAAACAAGGCCCGAAACATGCCTATGCCTATAATAATTAGATAGATGTCAGTTCTTCAAACAATCAATTAAGAAGACCACAAGTACAACGGAAAGCTGCATAGAAATATGTCTCCACCAACCTAGAAAAGGGTGAAACAGGGAATAGCAGTGGTACTTGCTATTTAATTACCACAGTCCACACCCACAGAATATTCGAAGCTATAAAAAAACAAAACTACATATAGGAAAACTCTTTTCTTTTCTTTCTTTCTCTCTTTTTTTTTGGAAATGGAGGATCATTTGCCTAATCGTTACTGTGAGCTTACTGAACTCCAATTTTATGATTCGGAGTTCCATAAGCGAGAAATGTCCCTATGTCCTTGATGTGAAGTGGAAACTTTCTATAAAGAAAAATTGCCTGCACAATTCCTTGATGTGAAGTGTAAACTTTCTAAAGAAAAATTGCCTGCCCAATTCCACATCCATCGCCCCTTTTGGTTCCAAGCAAGTTTTGGCAGGCTAGAGTTGAAATTATGAGCCAGAAAAAAGCAAGTTTTGGCAGGCTAGAGTTGAAATTATGAGCCAGAAAAAAAAATTGCGTTTGCCGGGAGTCGAACCCGGGTCTATTGCTTGGAAGGCAATTATCCTAACCGTTGGACTACAAACGCTGTTGTTCATTCATTAACTGAAATTCGTCATCTGAACTAAAGTTTCAACGCTGAAACTGAAAGTTATAATCGTAAAAGCCAACACTAGCATGCGTGCTCAGGGAATTTAAGCAGGAGATGTGGGAAATGCATCTTGCAATCATGCAATGTAATTGACCCCATACCTTCGATGTCGTCGTGGGTGATGCCCTGCGCCTCCAGGACGGCGGGCGGGGTGCTCATGAGCAGCGCAATCTCCCTCATCCGGCTCACCACGTCCACCATCATGTGCCGCTCCACCGCCTCCGCGAGCCACCGCCGCTCCTCCTCGCTGTTGATTGGCACCACCGAAAACCAACACGCGCTTCATCCACCTCTAAAAAAACAGACACTCCGCCTTCCCACCAGCAATCCAACATCCCCTTACCTGACGGCGCCAGATGGCCCCGCCCCGTCGACGTAGGAGAGGCTCCATTTGAGCAGCCCCGCCCAGCTCAGCCGACCCCCCGCCATCTGTCCTCCTCCCTCTATCCTTCCTGATCCGACGGCGCTTCCGGCCGGCGAAACCAAACCACCGCGCGTCCCGTGCGGTTCCTCTCTGCGGCTCCCAAAGCCGATGATGTGTGTGTGTTCGTGCTTTCCTCTCCCTCGTGTGCGTTCGTTCGCGGCGACGCGAGATATTTCCGCTTCTGGATACAACAGGGCTGAAATGATGATCAACTCGATGACTCTCCTAGAGCTAAACGCCAAATGCTGTCACGGGTAGGAAGGTTGGGGATAGGGACGGATCTCTCTGGAAATTACTCGGCTGTTCTGGCCGCCGAGCGGCACTCTGTGGGCCGGAACGGCCCATATTGTTCTGCACCGGCCGGGCACCGGGTTTGGCTTTATGTTTTCTGAGACGGCCCAGGGCCTTTCTTTCCCTGTCTTTCGGCCGTTCGTTTCGACCGTTCATTTGCTTCGGCGAGCGCCGGGGAGGGGATAATGGCAGCAGTGAGCTCGGTCTCTGTTCTGCCCCTCGCGCCGCGGAGGCCTCTTCCGCTGAGGCGTGCCGCTAGGAATGTGTTGGAGGGAGGAGGGAGAAGGGCTTCGAGTCCCCTGCTCCTCGCGAGGTATGGGCTGCGGCGCGGGCGCCCGGCTGCTGCTGCCGTGGCCGGCGAAGCGGAGTTGCCCCTCGAAGAGGCGGAGGCCGCGATGAGGGTGGCCGCCGACGACGACAGCATCACGGCCACGGTGGTGTCCGTGCTGCTCACGGTTGCGTTCGTCGGCCTCTCCCTCCTCACCCTCGGGGTGCGTGTGTGTTGCGACTTGCGAGCCAGCCGTTGTGGCATTGGATGGTCGATGCTGATCTCGCCAGGCTGTGTTTTTTGGCTGGCTCACGATTCTTTTTGCAATGCAGGTGATCTACCTGTCCGTACAGGACTTCTTGCAGAAGAGGGAAAAGGAGAAGTTTGAGAAGGAGGAGGCTGAGAGGCAGAAAGAGGAGGCGAGGAAGAAGAGGGCTAAGTCCAGGCAGAAGAGAAGAAATTATTGATTTCGGGATGAACTGCCACCCCCCAATGTGAGCATTTCTTCTTCTTCTCCACCCTATTTCTTGTAATAGCAATGATTTTGTATGTAGTGTTGCACCTTTTGTATCACATGTGGTTTTCCTTCCTTTCTCACTTTAGGTTATATATGTGGTGTATGTGATCAGTTCAGCTGAGGGGCGTGCTAAACCAAATTAGCTTACAACTAATTTGTTTTAGGACTGATCCATTTATAAATGTGGGATATTTACAAATCAATAAATCAAAAGTAAATTGCACCACTCTTAAAATAATCAGGAGGGAAAGCAAGATCGAATGAAATTTGGAAAGACGGGTGCCTGAAGGATGCTACTCTTTGAGTGAAAACAAGAATAAAGCCGCATTTTGTCCCCTGTGAAGGACACTTAGAAGTTGTTGGGACCTTTTAAAAAAAAAAAAATGGATCAGCGCCTGTGTTCGTTGCATTGAATCAGGACATAATGGTTCAGTGTTACAGCATCCAAGACATCAGGATTATTTTATTTGTTTTAAAATAATTAAATATCCAGTACTTGTCCTACAAGTATCTAAGGAGTATCAGTGTTCGACAGTATTGGTATCTGATACGCAAGTGTTCACAAGTATCCATGCATCGTAGTCAAGAATCACTCAGAGTTCACAAATCACCTAAGACATCAGGCAAAAGGTTCAGCAGAAGCCGGAGCAGCAGCTTCCAGAACTACATCAACCCACAAAGAGCAAGGCATAGCGCAGCTTGGAGCATTCAGTCCACCAACTTCGCCGTTGTTGAGGTTAGCAGGCACCATTCCTCGAGAGAATTTGTTCCAGCCTGGTGACCAAGGCATCCAGTTTGGCCTTCCAGAGCTGGTGCAGTTCGAAGTACTTCACCGAGCAAAGCAGCCATCCCCAGTTCTTAAACATGGCCCTGCTGGAGCGCTAGAGCTTTTGTAAACCTAGACAAACTCCATTCTGAAAACATAGATAGTTTCTTAGTTTCCACAACCCCCAAAGAGTCAATGCTGTTAACATATTAAAGATCAGATCCTTCTTTTCACGGAGCCAATGTTTAGCTAGCAACACATATCTACCATCATTAGACTGGATGTGAGCTCTGCCGCACACATGCAGACCTATCTAGCAATAGCACAAATAAAGAACCAGTGTGAGATGGCTCAGTTTCAAAACAAAACAAACCGGTATCATCTTCAACTCTCCTTTCTTTTAGCTAGATTGGTTCTAGTAAGAAGCTTATTCCTAGACAAGAGCTAATGAAAAATATGGGCTCTAGATAGCAATTTCATTTTACAAATCGCAGGTGTGTAAACTGGACACACCCCTGAAATTGATGATCTTATATAAGGACTGAGAAGAGCAAAACCCTAAGAAATTTTCTTTTAAAAAAGAGACCCTAAGGAATCATACTACCACACTATACCATCATCATCCCCGGTAACGACAGTGGTAGATCAATTTGAATAATTTCTTCTCATTAGTGTTGCAAATAACAGGCTAAGACATTTAGCGGAGCCTTCTGAAATATGCTAAGCAAGCTATAGCGGCGCTAAGGCATTTAGCGTTTTCTCAAAAAACATGCATATTATTGCTTGGTGTTTGCTAACTTGCATGTCTCCGTTGCTGGTTGTCACATTCTCCCTTCATGCCAGTGCTGGAGTACTTGTACTTGGCAGTGTAGTTGCTGCACATCGGCGAAGGGGAAGGCTGCAGCCGCGACCTCCGCAGTCACCTCACGCAGCCGGCTCTTGCAATTACTCTCAGCCGTTCGTAGTTCACAGCCATAGTTGCCTCAACGCACACCAACACCGCGCCACCACAAAAGGTTCAGAACTAGAGATGCTAGATTTTGTGAACACGCTTATACACCATGGTAGATAGGCTAGATTCTGGCCGGTGGAAATTTTGCTAGGTCTCATTTCTTGGTAGGTCGTCCGGCTGCACATTTAGCGCCGCTAAATTATGTCACTGCTAAAGCTTTTAGCGCCGCTAATGCCCGAAATAGCCCTCATATTGAAACGACTTGAAGATATGAAAATATAATTTAAGAGCTTACATAAGATGAAACATTCAAGCCATCTTTGATTGAATTGAAATGAAAGGATCATGGCGGTATCAAGTTATTTTGTCAACAAGATTCCTTACATAAAAAAGGGCAGCCCCAGTGCACGTAGCTCCCGCTTGCGCAGGGTCAGGGGAAGGGTCCGACCACTTGGGTCTTTTGTACGCAGCCTTTCCCTGCATTTCTACAAGAGGCTGTTTCCAGGACTTGAACCCGTGACCTCATGGTCACAAGGCAGCAGCTTTACCACTGCGCCAAGGCTCCCCTTCAACAAGATTCCTTACATGTATCACTTTATGTACAACCGAAACATTTTAAGGAGAAAACCATCATTAACTTTAAGTTGTTATACCACTAAACCATCTTGGATACTTCATAAGGTGGATAATAGTATGTGGCAAAACATAACTTTAATGAATTCTTTTGCGCCCAAACTTTTTGAGCAACACATAATATACACTCCCCCAGATAATATGCTAACAAGGACATTGACTATAATGCTCACCCATTCAACATACACAATACATGTCATCTTGCATGCTATCTTTATTAGCAGATTCACTTAGGGCCCGTTTGGATCCTTGGAATTGAATTCATTCTAATAATTACAATTTAGACATAGATTAATTAAGCTAATATAGTTGTATATGGAATATATTTGTATATTTATTGTTAGGCATAGTAGGTCCCAAGCACTGGTAAAGGCGGAGGGTTGTGTTAGGCGCGGCGAGCCAATGTAAAAACTTAGCCACTTTAATAGAGATGAAACCCAAAAAAATCTCGTTGGGGCATAACCCTCTTAGCGACGCGCCATGTCGGAACCCGGGTAAGGTGTTAAATGAGCAAGGGCCAGGTCGTTACCCCCGTGATGCGCCGTTTCATCAAGGACATGTACAACAATGTTGTGACTAGTGTTCGAACAAACGATGATAACACATATTACATCCCGATTAAAATTGGACTTCATCAAGGGTCAGTCTTAAGCTCGTATCTCTTTGCCTTGGTAATGGATGAGGTTACCAGGAACATACAAGGGGATATCCCTTGGTGTATGTTGTTCGCTGATGATGTAGTGTTAGTGGACGAAAGCCAGGCAGGAGTAAATAGGAAACTAGAGTTATGAAGGCAGACCCTTGAGTCTAAAGGTTTTAGATTGAGCAGAACTAAAACCGAATACATGATATGTGAGTTTGGAAGGTCAAGAAGTGCCTAAGAAGGATACCTTTCGTTATCTGGGATCGATGCTATAGAGGGATGGAGATATTGATGCGGACGTTAGCCATAGAATCAAAGCAGGGTGGATCAAGTGACGACGAGCTTCTGGCATTCTCTGTGACAAGAGGGTACCACAAAAGCTAAAAGGCAAGTTCTATAGAACGACGATTAGACCGGCTATATTGTATGGAGCAGAATATTGGCCTACAAAGATTCGACATGTTCAACAACTGAGTGTTGCAGAAATGCGTATATTGCGATGGATTTGCGGTCACACAAGAATGGACCGAGTTCGGAACGATGATATACGTGATCGCCTAGAGGTAGCACCAATTGAAGAAAAGTTTGTCCAACATCGGTTGAGGTGGTTTGGTTATGTCCAAAGGAGACCTCCAGAGGCACCAGTGCATTGTGGAGTCCTAAGCCAAGCTAATAATATGAGGAGAGGTAGAGGAAGACCGAAATTGACATGGGGGTTGGCAATAAAAAGATATTTAAAAGCTTGGGATATACCTAGAGATCTATGTTTGAATAGGAGTACTTGAAAAACAGCTATTGAAGTGCCTGAACCGTGACTTGGGGCTCTTGGTGGGTTTCAACTCTAGCCTATCCCAACTTGCTTGTGACTGAAAGGCTATGTTGTTGTTGTATTTATTGTTAGGCATACAAGGGGTATACTTATATGTTGCATTTCTATTGTAGGGAAGTGAGTTGAAGAGTGTGCTATAAGTTGGATGGTAGAATTATAGCATAGTCATCTATAGAATCCATTTTCATCTCTCAACCTATGAATTTGAGATATGCTTATTTGTGAGCTTGGGAAAGTTGTGGAATGTTAAATTCCAAGCCAAATAGTCTAATCCATTAAGTAGATTTCAATTCTTCAAAATGAAGGGATCCAAACGGCCCCTTATATTATTTTGATTTGTTCATTAGACACACTTTTCTTTGCCGTCTCTTTAGGCAAGTGTTCCAATCAGTGAGTTTGTACCTTTATATAGAAAAAAAACTTGTCACTCTTATGGGAAACAGTCTGTGGCGTTACCTCAAAACATGTCATGTAAATGTTCCCACTCTTTTATTAATTTCTATAATTAAGGCAATCTCACCTTATTCTATAATTGAACCAAATATTCCAAATATAGGTTGTTTATTTAGGATAGCAACAGTCTCCAATGTGGCACTTTGACTTGGATTTTTTTTTTTTTGGTCAAAATATACAAATCTCAAATAGTGAAAATTATATTTTATGAAAAATATTTTACATGATGAATAACATCAACCATATGTTGTCAATATATACCACTTTTAATATTCTGATGGTCCAAGTTAAAAAAAATTTTGCCTGATTGAATCCTAAAATGACTTCATTTGGAATCGGATACATTAGTTACTAGTATACATTAGTTACTAGTTAGAGCAGTTAAGCAAACAACATAGGTGATCACCTATGTTATTTATCTACCATATTTAGATGATACTGCATACTTAAGTAAGTCTTGACTCCTCTATCTGCTGGAATTACTTTTATGCAGATTATGTGTGCTGCCTATGCTAACAATGCTCTTCAGATGCATATCAGTCTTCAACATCTCCTTTTCTCAGGTTTTATGTCATTGTGAAGACTGGTTAGCTCCTTGTTTTTGTTAGCTCTGTTCAAATTAGCCCGATTTCTTCTCATTATTCAAGTTGTGAGTAAAAGTTATTGTATAACAGATGCTTCATAGATTCTATATGGCACTTGAATCACATGGTGCTTCAATCTGAATCTAGCAGTAACAACATGTTTTGATCAGTTGAGTTTCTGGGGTGTTCATATATGGTGCCTTTCACACCAAAAGGTGTGCTAGCGCTGCTACTGGTGTTGGGGGTTAATGAGCAGTTTGCCACTTTGGATATATTTAATGTTATTAACATCAAATCTGCCTGAATTGTTGCGCCATATACACCAATAACTTTGAAACTGAAGTCTGTATATCTTATATTTCTCTGTTGTTTGCATGTTGAAACTTGGGCTGGTTAGGCATTGACTTTTGGATAGGAACCTTGGAAACAGAAACTACATCTACATCTAATATTATATTTCTGTTTGCTATTCTTCTAGAAGAGCAAAATAACTTGATCGTTCCTTTGTGAATTGTGCCAAGTGAGCTGTGAGGCTATATAGAGAAGGTGGGGATGAACTGACTGCCTATTCCTGGACTATGGAAGGTCCTGTTCGCTTGAACTTATCAGCCGTACCGTTTTAGCGAAATAACAGTGTTTTTCTCAAACAACAAATCAGCATCAGCATCAGCCGTTTTTCCAGCCAGCTGAACATGGCGGAAATTTACAGCCTCGGCATAGCCTGGTGATTTGTTGTGTAAACAACTATGAATGTTTGAGCTTTGCAAACAACTCTGGAAATTTTTTTAAGATAATGTCTTGTATCGATTTTTTTTCTTCTAAAATGAAGGTGATATCATTTTTTTCTGAATTGAACGTCAAGTCATCTACAGATATTTGTGACCAATGCCCGGGTGTGATTGCAGTTGTTGACGTTGAATTGCGTCGTAGGCTTGGAATATCAGAAGCCGTGACCACAAGGGATGGGAAGGAAGCTTCTCGTCAACTTTCTTCGCAGACAAGGAGTGATGATTGTATCATGTCTGATTGAGCATGACAGCATATGAAGTTTCTTTGTTCGTTCTATAGATCTGATCTATCCCTGACGTGGACTCGAGCACGTGTCAAACTTTACTGACTTTTGGAATCTGGCTATTTTGTTCCTGTACATGCGGTTTTTAAAAAATACAGCAATTGGTTTACGGTTTTTTGTTTAACCAGAAAATGCGCCGTATAATTAAGAAAAAAATAATATGGTAACTTAAGGAGACCTTTTTGACCCTGTATTCGCCGATGAGCATCTACTAGTGATTAGAAAGCGACTGAAAGTGAAGTAGTTGCAGCAACGGCGACCATTCGCAGAACCATCTATAGCAGCGAATATCCTTTCGTCGAGAAGCAAAAGTGGATGACTTTTGCCAATATATTTGAAGAGCCAGAAAGGAAATTTTAAGACAATTGACAAAAAGCAAAGAGTTAACTACTCCCCTTCGATTCCAATAGAAATGTAGCCATGTAGGTCATTTCAGGATTATAGCTAGTTAAACTTCTGAAACTTTTTTTTGAAAGAAAAACCTCTGAAACTTGGTCATCCATTATATAAAAAATTACGTAAATTTTCAAAACATGGTCGGTGCTGCCAAATTAACCATGAAAATACTTTCATAATTTATATAACTATATATATTTAAAGTAGTTTACCTTACTTTTACAAGAGTTGCAAGCTGGAGTCCCATTAATATCTTAAGCGACAACATGATACATCTCTATCAAAAAATATATCAGCACAATTTTTTTCCAAGTCAAACTATTTCATATTTAACCATAAAAAAATAATATGAAGCCATGCTGATTTGAAGGTCGACTCACATCCAAAGAAAAGTCATGTACCAGTGTCCATCTTTTTGTTTGTGTCATGTTAATATGGGTTGCGATCAATAAGTTTAACTAATTTACGCTCTGGAAGTTCAAAAGGATCATGCACATATAGAGTCTGTTTGACAAGGCTTCTCCTGGGCTTCGATTTCGGCTCCATTAGAAGAGCCTTGCCAAACGTTTTGTTAGAGAAACTTTATTTTCAGTGAAATACAGTGAGCCGAAGCCATTTTAGACAGCTCTGGCTGAAGGAGCTCCTCTGGAACAGCCCTGTCACACAGCCCGTAGTCGTACTGTTTCTCGGTTTTAAACTGGTGGCCGGCGTCAAACCAAAACCACGATAAATTTTAACCTGACGCCTTTCACCGCGCGAGTCAAAACCGCCTCCCTTCTTTCTTCCGTCCTTCCATCCACGCGGCGGTTTGCTAAACCCACCGGCCGCCGCCGATCCCACCCATCCCGGGCTCCCCGCCTTCCCCTTGACTTCCCCGGCCGGCAGACCAGTCAACGTCACCACCGGCAGCTAGCTAACGGCGTAACCTTCCCAATGGCCGCGCTCCACGTGCATCTCCGTCACCCGCCACGTCACAGCTCCGGCAGACGCCGTCCCACATAAAACCGCCCCACCCACTCACCCACCCCCACAATTCCCCTCCCCTCCCGTCGTCTCCCCTCCCCCGAACCCCCGATTCGAAGCCGGCGGAGTTCGATTTGGGGATTTCGGCGCCTCGCTCCCCGAAATCTCCTGGATCTGAGTCTGTCTGCCGTCTTCGATTTGCGTCTGGAGTGAGCCTGCGAGTTTTCCGGCTCGATTTGGTCGGGGCCTCAAGGGTCGGGGTCTTCGATTTCGGGGATGGAGTCGTCTCCGGTGTCTTACTGGTGCTACAGCTGCAGCCGCTTCGTGAGGGTATCTCCGTCCACTGTCGTCTGCCCGGAGTGCAACGGCGGCTTCCTGGAGCAGTTTACGCAGCCGCCGCCGCGGGGCGGCGGCGGGAGCGGCCGGCGCGGGACGATGAACCCGGTCATCGTGCTCCGCGGCGGATCGCTTTCTGGGTTCGAGCTCTACTACGACGACGGCGCGGGCGAAGGGCTGCGGCCGCTGCCCGGTGACGTCCAGCACATCCTCATGGGGTCTGGTTTCCACCGCCTGCTCGACCAGTTCTCGCGACTGGAGGCGGCGGCTCCGCGTCCGCCGGCGTCGAAGGCTGCGGTGGAGTCCATGCCGTCGGTGACGGTCGCCGGAGGTGGTGCTCACTGTGCCGTGTGCCAGGAGGCCTTTGAGCCTGGCGCCGCCGGCCGGGAGATGCCGTGCAAGCACGTCTACCACCAGGACTGCATCCTTCCCTGGCTCTCGCTCCGCAACTCCTGCCCCGTCTGCCGCCAAGAGCTTCCGGCTGCAGCCACCCCAGATGCGGAGGCGGATGCTGGGCTCACCATATGGCGACTTCCACGCGGTGGATTTGCCGTAGGGAGGTTCGCCGGTGGGCCTAGAGAGCAGCTCCCGGTCGTCTACACGGAGCTGGATGGCGGCTTCAGTAACGGGGTTGGGCCGAGGCGGGTGACATGGCCAGAGGGAGATGGCCAAGTAGATGGTGGTGAAGGTCGTATTCGCCGCCTACTTAGGAATCTATTTGGCTGTTTTGGTCAGCCAGCGAGTTCGTCGCAGTCCCGGAGTGGCTGAGCACAGTTTTCCTTGGTAACAAGTTTTCAATTGATAGCACTGAAGAACTAGGGCTAGTGTAAGAATGGAACCCAGATTATAATTTCTTGGGGCTTTTGATGTAAATGAAGGCCTAGCATCCCCCCTTCCTTTGTCTCATTTAAGAATTATTACTAAGAGATGGCTATGAGCAAGCATCTTGGAGTAAGCTTTGCAACCAAATTAGGTCAAACACACAAGTGCAAACCTTCAAGAAAGGAATAGCAATGAATGTTTTGGGGAAATCAATCTTTGTCAATATTGTAGGTAGAGAGAACAATTGTTGTATTTGCATCCCTACTGTTTGTGTACATACTGGATTGGTTGAACATGAATTCCCATTCTGTTATATCTTATATTGACATTAAAAATCCCCAAAATCTATGGTAATACTTCTGTTCATCTAGCCACATCCCTTCATTGTTTCAATTTGAAGTATTCGTGTCGTGGATCAGTCATAACAGCTACCAGCCGAGCACTTGTTTATGCTTAATGGTCATAGTTTACCCTAGCTTGTGCTCCTATCGCTAACTAGTAAGTGGTCAGGACTGTTCTCTTCAATTTTCTGTCCATTTTCTCCTGCAGTTTTGATGTTTTTGTTTCCTCTGCTAGAGAAGGAAACATCGAGTCCCTATGCTATTTTAAATGTGCCAACTCAAATATCTTTTCTATGCCTAAAAAATGTCACGATAGTAGATTGGTCTTTTCAGTGTGTTCAACTAGTGCAGGGTCATGTTTGGGGTGGTGCACATGGTGTAAGGGCAATATAAGAATTTAATACAACACATGTCCAGATGGATCCTACAAATTTGGTTGCAGTTTTGCTCTAGTGGTATGCTAGCTGCTATTTTTTTTGAAAAATTCCTACCATCTATCTTTAATTACTCTTTAGTGCTTCTATTATTGATACGTAGAATTTAAAGGGCTGTGGGTGTCATGTTCTACATTTTCATCTCTGGCAGAAATGATGAACTGTACCATCTTGTAGTAGGCATATATTTGTCTACGTCCATCCTTGTAGCCCTCCATCTTGTTTGAGTCATACTGCATACGCAGCGGTTGGCCTAACTGTGAAATTTTTGCTTATCGTTTCTTCTGTGCATACTTTCAAATAAGTAACACGGTGAATTTGCAATGATGATATAAGTTCTGCATCCTTGACAAATTGCCGGAGTTATTTCATCTATTTGTGTTCTATTAATTAGCATAGCTATTGTTTTTGCTCCAGTTGTAGTTTCAATCTAGAAACCCATCACAACTCAAGCCCTATATGTTCATGGCTTTATGTTGTACTTGTGAAGGGGGAAAAGCTTCATTTTTTGTCTTGATCACCTCATGCCTGCTTTATTGTTTTATATTGCCTCTACTCTGATATGAATATGTGGCAGTTTAGGGAGTTACTTAAAAGCAGAAGGATATCTGAGAAACTGCATAAAATTCTCTATATCGTAATCTTTGCTTTGCTCACTTGATTACCTTTATTACCATTTGGCCTCGGAAAAACTTGCTAGGTCATGCTGGCGCGTGTCCTTGTTGTTTGCTTCTTTAATATCTTTTCTGGTAACAATATGAATGCTGAAACAGCATCTATGCAGGGTTCTGTTGTCTGCTGGTGGAGAAAAAAACTAAACACCAATTGAATATCTTCACAGTAAAAAACAAGAGATTATTCTCATTTCTTAAGTTTGGATCATAGTCCATGACAACGATTCACTTGCTGTTAGTGAAGCTTGTTGATGTTTAGTTTATGTCATTATCATTCCCTCTTGTCGGGGTTGTCATGTATTATTTTTGGATATAGCTGTAGGTCACTGCTCATGCACAAATTATTTGATCATTATATGTTACCAAAGATCTCTGTATAGTGGCTAATAACTGACCACGGATCCTAACTAGTTATTTGACTTCCCTTCTTTTTATTGTTTCCCCTGAGTAATCACCCATATCCTGTGACTCATATTCTTTTTTTAACTTCTCAGCTGTTTGCTTTACCCTTTGAACCGTGGTTCTTTGTCTTGCTGCTTTCTTCCAGCTTAATTGTTCCAGAAATGTTAGTCTACGTTATGTATACCTGTTGCTAATGGCATATTTTCTGGAGGGAACTGCTGTATGCTTTTCATGATGATTACCCCCCATGCTTCTCATGCCTGCAGGTTGACAATGAAGAATTTCAGTGGTCCTTGTGATATGCTTACCTTTCACAGGGCTCTCCAGCAGTCCAGCTGACAAGGGTGATGGTCATTTATTTTTTAGGCTGTCACAGTACAACAGTACAGTGTATGGCGATGCGGGGGCATCCGTCGGTAGGAATATTACCCAACCAGATTTTGCTTATGCATCGTTATCGAATTGTCCATCCATAAGCATTTTATGGCACACTCAGTTACGCCCTAATGTAGCAGTTTTTTTTATCTGTATTAAGATGATGTATTATCTTGGTTGTTGAGCAATCAACATCTCTGAATGTCGGTTGATTTGACAGCCTACTGTTCACGCAACCTTCCATTTATGCTGCATTGGCCATGGTGATGATCAAACATGGTGACGAAGATTGGAAGACAGCTATCAGGTCAAGAAGGACCGGACCCATCTGAGCCCATCTACAGTGAGAAAATCGCCTTCTTGCCTTTCTCAACCATCATGGGCGCTCATCTTCACTCGAGGTAAGGACCGTCTGTTAGGTACCTAGGCTGGCTTAACTATCAGGGAAACATTTGGCAGGATGGCTCAGTTCATTGGAATCTATTGGTGGTGGTCCTGGTCGTGGAGAACTTTCAGTGTTCTGGCGCATCACTCTGAGTGCTCGACGAAAAGGACTGCTGCCGAATGAGCATCCTAACTCTAATAACTGCTCACAGTGCGATGCTTTATTCCCATTCCTGACTTTTACGAAGCATTGGGAAAGATTGTCTTCTTTTCGTTTTATGTGCCAAATCTGTATCACACAGAGTGCTGGAGTACTCAGATGTTCATAGGCAAGAATATTTGTGATAAGCTAAGAGATGAACTTTCTTCCAGCTCCATGTTTCTGTGCAATGGACTCAGTTTTTTGCAGCACGGCCGCCGCTCCATGTTTCGGTGCGCTCCTCGCAGAAATTTGACGGCTGCCAAACCTCATAATACAGTGCACTCGATCCAGTGGTTTGTGTTGTAATTATAGTAGTTGCTTCAGAAGCAATGGTCCTGCGGAGTCCTTACTGCTGTGGTGAGGCTCCATGTTTTCCGAAAGCCTACTCCACTTTGTTGGTTCCAAGATTGAGTGCTTCATTGTGTAGTTGTCTCCAAACAGTGCTGCAGGATTGAACAATCAGAACGTAAAGAATGCTTGGGCATAAGTGTTCCTGCCGTGCAGATCCAGTGTGCTCCTGGAGCAGAAGGGGATTGGATGATTTGCACAAGCGATGTTATCTTATTCCACCGGCAGTCTGGCACCAGCCTTATCGCTGTTGTTCGACAGGATTTATTGTTGCTACGGCTAATTTGTAGGACTGATTTATTGTGAAAGAAAAATATTATTCCATGACTAAAAAAGTAGGGCTAATTCCGGTTTATAAGCTCTTGCCAACGGAGCCCTTTAGTTGTGCATGATCGGTGTGCCATGTGTGTGCATGATGATCGCTTCAAAAAGAAGCGGAATAGCCATTCGTGTCGGGTCAACACATGTCTCCAGCGGCAGAAGCTAAAGGCATGTTTAGTTTCAAAAAATTTTGCGCAGTACCATCACATCGAATTTTGCGGCACATGCATGGAGTACTAAATGTAGACGAAAAAAAACTAATTGCACAGTTGGGTGAGAAATCGTGAGACGAAACTTTCAAATCTAATTAGTCCATAATTAGACACTAATTATCTAATATAAACGAAAGTGCTACAGTAGCCACGACAAAAAAAAAATTAGATCTAAACGCGCCCTAATCATTTGCGAGAACAAAACTGAATACGACGAACCCAGCGTCTCGTGTGTAGATTCTGATTCTGGTGATAGTTGCAGCGTTTTGACTGAGTGCGATGTTACTGGCTCGAGTGCGAGCGGCGAGCCACGTGCCCACGTCTGTACAGTAGAATGATGCATGAATAGCATTTTGCCCATTTTGCTACTTGGAATCTGCCTGTCCGAGTCCATCTGGCCAAATTTCAGAAGCAACCGGCGAGGCGGCGATGAAAAGGTGTGAATGTTCCGCACATTTCTCTCTGCGTGGCTTTTCTCATGATACCGGTACGAGGGTGTTTGGTTGTCTGATCGCTTATAAAATTCATGTTACATCTAATGTTTAGATATTATTAAAGAGCATTAAATATAGATTAATTATAAAACCAATTATATAGATGGAAGCTAATTTGCAAGACGATTTTTTAAGCCTAATTAATCTATCATTAGCATATGTTTACTGTAGCACCACGTTGTCAAATCATGGACTAATTAGCCTTAAAAGATTTGTCTCGCAAATTAGTCGTAAATTGTATAATTAGTTTTGTGATTAGTCTATATTTAATACTCTATACATATATCTAAATATTCGATCAGACAGAAATTTTAGGAGGTGCATAAACCAAAAGCTGTAGTATACCACTCAATACCTTTTCATGTCCGCACATTTCACGTCAGAACTCTCAATTGGCCCACATGTTTGTGTCGTACCGTGCTTGCCATAGTGCCTGTTGCTTTCCCTTAACGTATCGGAATTTGGTAAAGGTAAAAAAGCCGCCGGCAGCCTTCAGATCCAATGGTTCGTTCGTAAGAAATGCTGCGTCATTCCCGCATGATGCCCGGGTCAAGCAGAGGCAGGGCGGGGCAGAGCACGTCACATGCGGTGCAGCTCAGAGCACCGGCAGTCACCATCACCGTCTGGCACTCTGGCTCATGAAGTCATGATCGCCATGGCTTCCGGGATCACCCACCAGGCTGCGCCGCGGCGGCAACCCCCCTTCACCGGCACCGCCACAGGCCACAGCTGCTGTGAGAAACTGGAAACCCGACGGGCAAAATAGTAGACTTTCTCAGCAGACTAACAGGAGGGGAGGGGGGGCACAGGAAGATGAGGGGCCTGTGGCTGTGGTTGCACTCACTGTATTGGCAGGTGTCCACTCTCCAGCTGTCGACCACGGGTTTCTCAACCGCAGGCAGGATGAACTGGCGCGCGCTGCACCGAACGCGAAGGGTCTTTTCGACAAATCTAACGAGAGATCATGGCGAGGCAGCTGCCCTGAAACTGAAATCCACTCACTCGCTCTCCTCCAAAACTCCCCGATGATGGACGGCAAATCGGGAGCGCGGGAGCCCCAGCCCCCAGAAGCTCCAGCTGCGCCACCTGGTCACCTGGACGGACAGCCGTGTCCATGGGGTTATAGTACTTGTATTGATGAGATCGCCGACCGCTGCATCGCAGAATCGGATGGGAGAATAGAGGAAACGAGCATTCGATGCTGTGAAGAAGCGAGATGTGACACAATGCAACGTGACGCGGTTTAGCGTACTGCTGCGGATACACCGAACCAGACGAAAAGCGCTGACACGTGATTCGTACGAATGCCGATGGAAAAGAGACGCTGACATTAGTACGAAGGCGGAGCCAGTGAGTGACGACCAGTCAGCGGTGAGAGTAAACGGAGAGTCCAGAGTGACTGCATGCCATTTGCCATGGAGCCGATCCTTCTCCTCTGCCTCTCTCTTCTTGCCCACGGGGCGGAGGCGGCGTGCAGAGAGGCCAGGTTCGGGGGGGCAGTTCTCCCGCTGAGGGCGCAGCAGCTGGTGCTGGCGCCTACACAGGCACCGCCAGCGAACAGGCTCCGGTTCCGCCACGACGTCAGCCTGACCGTGCCGGTGGCGGTGGGCGCGCCGCCGCAGAACGTCACGATGGTGCTCGACACCGGCAGCGAGCTCTCCTGGCTGCTCTGCAACGGGAGCCGCGTGCCGTCCGCGTCCGCACCGCCACGGGCTCCGGCAGCGTTCAACGGGTCGGCGTCGTCCACGTACGCCGCCGCGCATTGCTCGTCGCCCGAGTGCCAGTGGCGCGGGCGCGACCTCCCCGTCCCGCCGTTCTGCGCCGGGCCGCCGTCCAACTCCTGCCGCGTGTCCCTCTCCTACGCCGACGCCTCGTCTGCCGACGGCGTCCTGGCTGCCGACACGTTCCTCCTCGGCGGCGCGCCGCCCGTGCGCGCGCTCTTCGGCTGCATCACCTCCTACTCGTCCACCACGGCCAACGGCAACGACGCCGCCACCAAGTCCTCGGAGGCGGCGACGGGCCTCCTCGGCATGAACCGGGGCAGCCTGTCCTTCGTGACGCAGACTGGCACCCTGCGCTTCGCCTACTGCATTGCCCCAGGGGACGGGCCCGGCCTCCTCGTCCTCGGCGGCGACGGCGCCGCCCTGTCGGCGCCGCAGCTAAACTACACGCCGCTGATAGAGATCTCGCAGCCGCTGCCGTACTTCGACCGGGTGGCCTACTCCGTGCAGCTGGAAGGCATCCGCGTGGGCGCCGCGCTGCTCCCCATCCCCAAGTCCGTGCTCGCGCCGGACCACACGGGCGCGGGCCAGACCATGGTGGACTCGGGCACGCAGTTCACGTTCCTCCTCGCCGACGCCTACGCGCCGCTCAAGGGCGAGTTCCTGAACCAGACGACCGCGCTCCTGGCCCCGCTCGGCGAGCCCGACTTCGTGTTCCAGGGTGCGTTCGACGCGTGCTTCCGCGCGTCGGAGGCGCGGGTGGCCGCGGCGAGCCAGCTGCTCCCGGAGGTGGGCCTCGTCCTCCGCGGCGCGGAGGTGGCGGTCGGCGGGGAGAAGCTCCTGTACAGGGTGCCCGGCGAGCGTCGCGGTGAAGGCGGTGCCGAGGCGGTGTGGTGCCTGACGTTCGGGAACTCGGACATGGCGGGCATGTCGGCGTACGTGATCGGACACCATCACCAGCAGAACGTCTGGGTGGAGTACGACCTCCAGAATAGCCGCGTTGGCTTTGCGCCCGCGCGCTGCGACCTCGCCACCCAGCGCCTCGGCGCCCGAGCATAGGCATCTGTGCTCGTTGTGGACCTACCATTGATGGCACACAGCGGCAGGGCTCGAAATCGTTGCTAGAGACCAGGTATTAGAGATGGTCTCTCCGATCACCTGCTGCTGTGGTCAACTTTGTATTATGCGATCAAGTATACAAGTCGGTGACAAGCTGATATAGACATAGTTATGGATAATTTGATTTGTATTATGCGATCAGGTATACAAGTCCGTGAAAAGCTGATATAGACATAGTTATTATGAATATCTATTCACTCCGGTCACAAATAGGAGTAAGCGAATGTTTTCGAGCTATATAAAGTCCAATGTTCCAAACTTAAACTACACATCATTTTTTTTACATGTTAAAAGTTTGAATGTGACATGAATAGCACAATTTCATCCACAAATAAAACTATACATTTGCTATTTCAGCAACTGTTTTGTTCTTGGTCGTTTAGGTTTCTTCTGATAAAACTTATCTCATGCGCCTGGGATAGTGTATGCTCCATTGAAATTTAGAGGACACTATTTATTTTCAGCTCCGACCTAAGGGTATGTTTAGGACTGTTTCACTGACTCTATTCCACAAACTCCACTGTGAAACAGCTTCATAACCAATATTGAGGTGCGTACTCTAAAATAGTCAAGGTGCATCTATTAGTGGAGCTTTTTTATCTGTCGGGGAAAAAGAATTGGCATGAAATTTGCTAGAAATTGGCTAGTTATTTATGACAATATGATGCAGACATCTACTACTACTATGTACTCTTTCCGTCTATAAAAGAATGTAGCTATGGTATTCATGCTCATTATAGTAGTTTAAATTTGACCAAATTTACAGTGAATAGTGTTCATATTAATATATTTGAATCAATTTATTATGAAATTATATTTCATAATTATTATAATAATATTTATTTTATATCACAAAGGTTAGTATTTTTTGTATAACTTTGGATAAATTTAAGCATGGTGGTATTCAATTTTAGCTATCGTGATCCAAGTGCGCCGTCCATCACGAAACGGACGGCACAGATAATGCCACGCACTCTCCACAGGGTGCCCAGCACTGCGGCGCACGAACTCGAAACCGCAAAGCCTTTCTAGCTCCTGCAGTCCTGCTGTCCCCCTCTATTTTCCCCATCTGCAGGCTGCAGGCTGCAGGCGCTGCTGCTCTCGTCCTCCGCCAGCGAGCGAATCGCTGGCTCGACGCAGCGGCGGGAGGTATCTCGCCTTCGATCAGGTGCGCGCCCTCCTCGAACTCCCCCTCGCCTTCCTCGTCTGGCTTCCGATTCGGTCCGGTCAGCGCCCAAGCCGTGCGCTGGGCGAAGCTTCCGGAAGCTTCAGGGTTTATCCCGGCATTTCGCTTCCCGCGACGGCGCGACCGGATCGCTTGGCCTGACGGAGTTTTTAGCTGGGATTTCGGTTGGGGCGTCGCTCTCCGGCGCTTATTTCATTTATATTTATCGGTTCCTCAGGTTCACGGGCAAATTCGTTGCTGCGCGGGGCTTTGGAGTTTGGAGCCAATCTTGCGCCTTAAAGTGGCGGCGGCAGCGCCTGGTGGGCACCATGAGCTTCGTCTTCCGAGGGAGCAGGGCCGACATCGAGGCCGGTGGCTTCCCGGGGTTCGCCCCCGAGCGCCGCGCCATGGTGAGTGTCCGTCTGCAACCCATGATGCATTTCTGCTAAAATGTAACTGGTGGTAGTGTAGCTTAAACCGGTTTCCTTGTCCTGATGTCTGATCTCATTCGTATGTGTGGTTGGGTGCAGCGAATTCATGCAGGGAGCAGGCCGGTGAATAGCAATTCCTTGGCTTTTCTTCTAACTGGTAATCCGCTCGCCTGTCTATTACCAATAATGTTGAGCTGCTAAAGATTATTCTTTTGGTTAACGTTGTGCTTTTTCTTGGGCAGTTCTTGTTTTGTTCATGGTCCTGAACTCACACCAGATGTCTCCCAATCTTTTGGTAAGTTTTCATGCTGTGTGCGAGGTGTCCATGATTCGATTAAAGTTGGTTTCTTATTCGTACAAAGCATGCAATTGTGGAACAGTTTAATAACTACATATTTGTCGGATTGCGCAATATTTTCTTCTCTTGTAGCTTTGGCTTGTCTTGGGAGTCTTCCTAATGGCCACGAGCCTTAGAATGTATGCCACATGCCAGCAGCTTGCTCATGCTGCAGCTGCCAACAGTTTTCTCGGCCACACTGAGCTGCGTGTGCATGTACCGCCGACCATTGCCCTTGCTACAAGAGGCCGGTTACAGAGCCTTAGACTTCAACTGGCTCTTCTTGACCGTGAATTTGACGATTTAGGTGTGCCAATACATCCCATTCGACTCATGTGATGGTTTATAGTGTTTCCTGAAGACTTAGCGCCATGGAAATCTTTTTGTTTCAGATTATGATACTCTGAGAGCATTGGATGCTGACAATAGCCCGCATTCTCCTTCTATGAGTGAAGAAGAAATAAATTATCTTCCTGTCTTCAAATATAAAGTTCAGGCACAGCAGGGGAATGCCCCTTCCCGGAAAAGGTAAGACGAATTATCCTTTGGGTTGATTTGTCCATATGGCCATATCAAGTTGGTTCCAGTATCTCCCATCATCAACACATGACCAAACATTTAATTCTGAAATGGAGACATGGAGTAATTTGTCTCTGTGATGTGTTTCTAACGAATGTTTTTCAATAGTGATGGGGCATCTCAGCTATCGGTTTCTTCAACTGGAGCTGGCAATGAGGTAATTAATAAATACTGGCTTGTTTCTCAAGGTGTGGTTGCTTTAAAAGTATCTTATTATCACCAATCATGTAGGCTGTTAAAATGTCATGTTATTTGTGATGCCACAGTTGTCAGTTGTATGTATTTGCAACGATATTCTTATAATATTCCGTTGTAAAGATAACATATATGTATTTTACATATCTGTATAACTTGGCAATACACTTTTTGGCTCAGCCTTCATTTATTGAAGTTATTGGTTGTCTGGTTAGCTTTGGGATTTGTATGATATATTGTGTCAATGGTTTTCTAGTTTACACATTCTAAATTGATGTAACACCTAGTGTATAGAATCACATAGCTAGTGTGATCGCCATCAGTGTCTGTGCGGTAGTACATACATGGTTCAGACTTTGGTCCACGATGATTATTGTTTAACTTGATTCTGCCTTGCAGAAAAAGCAGGATGCTTTAAAAGATGGAACCAGCAAAACTCCAGAGGATGAACTAATATGCAGTGTTTGCTTAGAGCAAGTCGTGGTGGGTGATCTCTTGAGAAGCCTACCATGCTTGCATCAGGTAATCATGCTCATATCTTGCCCTTGGTTTTCCTTGTATGGAAACAGCAGATCTCGATTTTGTTTCCTTTCCGAAATGATCCTGGTAGCACCTTTTAGCTCTAGTTTGATACTTTGATATGGTAACTTGACATGTTAGCTAACATCCTAAAACTACGCCGTGAAACCAGAATCATGTTTGGTGTAGCAACAGGGTTAACCAGTGCATTTTACACATTTTGTGGATGAATACGTGATAATGTGACATACTGACAATAAAAGTTGTTTTTAACTGTTATTATTGTTATGCATATATCATATCTTACTTTACAGTTTACATCTTGCACTTGGTTGACCACTTGCTTCATGCTCCCTCTTCATAAATAAGTGACTTATTGGACACTGACACATTCTCCAAAATGCAACTTTGAATGGTACTTTTTGCTTCAAAATATTTATAAAACAGAAAAAATTGTTTATGAAACTTCTGAGACAAACCTTAACGAATAATTCTCAAATATCCAAACTTATAGAATATAAAAAGTAATGTGTAACCAGAATTTAAAATCATTGGCTTAAGACAACCTAAAACACCACTTGTTTCTGGCTGGAGGGAGTATGCACCAGTGTGAAGTGCTATGTTGTTGATTTTGCGGAATAGAAAGTAGGGAGCGTATCACTGTAGTTTATTCTTTACACTCAGATCTGGAACGCTGTAAATTTTTTGGAGTTATCTTAAATTTGACCGGTTAGTTGACACATCAATAACTTCCTTTGCTTTGTCATTCTTTGCCTCCCATAGAGTTCTAGTTTGTCATATTTTTAGCACATCCGATCACAATATCCGGAACCACATATTTCTAGACAAAAATATAGACCAGGAATCACAAGTGAAATAGGATTAAGGGGCAATAGAGGTGTGATCCCGATTCCCCCAATCTGCCACGCCACACCACTGGCTTCCTATATTTGAGGGTTGGTAAGAACCTAAGAGACTATTGTACAAGACCTGCTATAGCCTTGCCCATAAGCATGGCCTAGATTTTGATCCTGCATATGCAGTACAGATGCATGTCAGCTTGTGTAGCATGCTATGGACTGATGTTTTTACAAGTGCATAAATGAAAATCCACCGGTTTGAAGATATGGCCACCATAGTGCTAATGTGATGTGTCATGATGAGGTAACACTGCAAGATTTCTTACTTTCTGTTTGTTTTACAGTTTCACGTAAACTGCATCGACCCATGGCTGCGCCAACAGGGTACATGCCCAATCTGCAAGCACCAGGCGAGTGATGGGTGGCATGCCACAGGTAACGGTGAAGAGGATGCTTCTTACATGGTGTAAGTAGCTGCCTGGGAGCAGGCCATAGGTAACTACTAGTAGTAGCTACTAACAGAACCAGTGGTGGTGACGGTTTGGACTGATTTCCTGCAATCAAGGGATGTGGCCGAATCCCTGTCTATTCTAACAAAACCGAGTGTGGAATCAGCTGACCAATGTGCTGAGTTCTTGTACAAATAATGTTCATTCCTGTGTTATGTTCAGCGTAAAATAGGTTGATGATAGTCTTCTTCCCCGGCCTTTCTTAATTTTCTCGTTTTCTTTTCTTGTGTGAAATGCTCGGTTTCTTCTCTTGTTTGAAATGCTCACACAAACTACTGCTGGGATTTTTTTTTTCTTACTGTAAGAATGTTTAGCCGATCAGTACATGAGGGGTGGATGCAGGGT